CCCTGGTGGGGCCCCCCGGCTGGCTGCTCTTGGTGGCCCCAAGATGAAGACTTGGAAGCTGGGGGTTCAGGAAGCCCCACTGCCCAGTCTGGCTCGAGGCCCCACAGGCATCAGCAGAGGGCCGACGGCACTGCTTCCCTCTCCGTGTCTGCTGAAAGCAGACTCAGGCAGCCAGCCTCCTGGGCCAGCCGGCACAGGGGGCTCCCAGAAGCTGGAGACACCCCACTGGCCCAGGGCAGCACCCCTGAACCTCAGGGGGCCATGCAGACAGAGAAGCAGCAGAGTCTCACTTTGCCGAAGCAGGAGCCATTCAAAAAGAGATGGCACCTGGGAGACTGGCTGGACCGGGATGACCTCCCCTAAGGAGGAAAAATGGGGGTGGGGGGAGGGACACCGATGGCCTGAGCCCGACCCCAGGGACAGCGCAGCTGGCTGAGCAGGCAGGCTCACCTGCAGGGCTGGCCGTGAATCTGGGAAAAGGGCAGGGGAGCGGAAGAAGCCAGGATGGTGGACCAGGAGGCTGGGCCCTTCAGGCCTCTGAACCTGGGACTTGGGGAGTTCCCCACGGGCGGGCGGCAGGGCCCTGGGCAGGGCGAGGAGGCCATCTAGCGGCGGGGCCCGGGAGGGGGAAGGGCAGGCCCAGAAGGCGCCTCCTGGGGGCGGGGCAGGAGACAGGCTGCCACCTGTGCCCTGTCCAGGACCTCTGGCCAGAAGATGGCTCAGGGAACGGAGAAAGGGGTCGTGAGGGCGGAGTCACCTGGGCAGGGGTAGGCAGGGCTGGGCTGGACCCTCTGACCGCCTGGGGAGGCCGACTTCTGGAGGGGAAAGGCAAAGGGAGGGAGCCATCTGCTGTCTGGAGGCGGAAGGCAGCTCTGGAGTCTGGGAAGTGGGGAGCGGGCGGTGGAGGGTCGAGGAAGTGGGGGACAGTGGGGAGGGCAAAGGCTGGAGCGTGGCAGGGCTCAGTGTGAGGCTCTTGTTTCTAAGACGACACAGAAATAGAGCGGGTTTTGTGTGTCTTTCCCCCACCCACCACAGGACAAGGTCTCATGGGGGCATCAAGTCCTTCTGGAGGGTCCTCCCGCTCAGGGCTCTCAGGATCCAGGGCTGGCCGGAGATGGGCATGGATGCGGGGAGGGAGGCCTGCTCTCTGTCTTGCTGGGGTACCCCATGTCCAGTACGCCCAGGGCACCCACCAAGGCCCACCCAGAGGGGCAGTGAGAGGCAGCAGGCTGCAGGAGCCCCGGCTGTCACTGCCCTGGGTGCCCGGTCCTGCAGGTCTGCCACTGGGAGCCCTCATGCCTGAGGCAGACAGAGATGCAGAGGCTTCAGCACATGCCAGGCTGCTAAGGGAGAGGTGATAGCAGGAAGGGGCCTGAAAGGGAGTTCCAGGCAGTGCAGCACAGCAAGGTCCGGAAAGGTCTTCAGGCCACAGCGAGCTGCCCAGGGTCTGACATGCAGTGCTCTGCAGGGAGCCAGGACAGACAGGCCAACCCTGGGCAGGCCCACGGGGCTTTCTGTATTCGCTTTGACTGGGAGTGCACTCACACCACACAGACAGTGGCAGCCAGAGGGTCGCTGAGGTCTGTGGGAGTCTGCCCCGTCTGGGCTCCGCTGACGGGTGCTCTGCGCTCTGCCCTGGGCTGCCTTTCCACCCTGCCCAGAGTCTGCATCCTCCCCAGGACGCCACTCCCCAAATCACAGATTAGGAAAGCGGTGAGATGGGGGCTGGGGTCATCTCCCAGGCAGGGCCCAGACCTGACCATGCTCTCTCTGAAGACCCAGGACTGATTCTCTTAAGATGCACCCCTCCTCCCCCACTGCCCCAAACATGTTAGTCTGCAGAGGGAGCTGCTAGAAAAGTCCCATTGTCTGGGGCCCGAGCTACAGGCCTGGCCCTGCACTCCAGGGCTGGGGTCAGCGATGGCTGTCCTCACAGGGTCACACTGCAGTATGGGACTACCCCATGGGTGTGCCTACTCCCCTGCCCGTCCTGGGAGAATTACTGCAAGTGCAGAGGGGGGAGGGGTGAAAGAGCAGGCCTGTGCCCTGGAAAGGGGCTTCTTAGGCTGTGTTTTCTGACTGAGCTACGACCTCCAAGACTTTTTTCTTCTGAAAGAAGTGAAGGGATGGGGACTCAAATATTGCCACCAGCCAGCACTGTGCCCGCTCCTAGGGTGCCCCTGTTGGGGCAGAGCCCAGATAGGGAGGGGGGCTGCTCCCTCAAACCGCAGCCCAGCCTGCCTGCTGGTCTCCGGAGGCAGCTGGGCACACAGGCCAGCAGCCCCAGCCCCCGTCCCACTCCCCCCACCGGCCCTGCTCTTTGCGCAGACCATGGTGGGGTGCTGTGCGCACAGGCCTGCCGGCACCACTGCCCCCAGGCACAATGGCCTCTACCCACCACACACACCAGCCCCTCCTGCCTGGGGGCACAGCACCCACACTGCCTGGCTCATCACCCACGGGCCTCGGGCACTCTGTACCTGCCCTGAGCACTCTTCCATCTCATTGCCAGAGGTTTCTGTAAAGTAATGCATAAACCCAAGTACAGTAAAAGCAGTCTTGCCAAGTTTTCCTAAGGTGCTTAAAGCATTTCAGATAGCAGGGCTGTCAGCATGGCCACCCTTAATTACCCTGGGCTGAGGGTGCAGAATATTCAGGAGGGGTTAGAGTCTCTTCAAAGAGACCTGGCCTGCCTTATAAAGTCCCAGGGGAAAATTAAGTAAGAACTGGGCAGTTTTACCCCTTAAACATTCAAGTGACTATGGGTCTGATGATTGAAACTGGGGTGCGGGGCACGTCTAGACCTTCCTTTGAAAACTTAAGTTGGTTTTAACTGAAGCACCTACCATTCCAGAGAAAGTCAGGGGGAAGCAGAGAGGTACACAACACACGGAGTAACTGATGTTACCCTCCCGCCCACGTTTATCCTCGTACAGATTTTTTTTTAACTCAAAGCCTTCAGGTGAAAATGAAGCAACAGCAGCAAAAGAAAAAAAAAACGTAGTCTTCTTCAGGGTTAACATCAGAGACAAGCTTGTGCAGCTCCGGCCAATCAGACGCGCCCCTGCCAGCTATAATATAGTGCTAAAGGCAGCCTCTCCCATAGCTCTGGGCTTGCTACCATTTCAATCAGACTCTTTTTGTCTCCTGATTGCTGTCTCGCGACCCAACTCCGATGTGTTCCGCTATCAGCTACGGGCAGCCTGCCATTCCAGCCCCTGTCTGGGTGGGGATCGGAGGACAGTCCCCTGCCGCAGTGGCGGGCAAGGTTATATAGGAAGAGAAAGAGCTAGCAGCGCCCAGGGAGCGAGCGAGCCGGAGCGAGGAAGGGAGAGCGCAGGGGGAGCGCACGCACACACGCGCGCACTCGCGCACACAGACCCGCACGGGGACAGCTCGGAAGTCATCAGGCTCCGTGGACGAGATGCTGCCGCTGGCCCGCTGTCTGCTGGTGGTCCTCCTCTCCTCGCTGCTGGTGTGCTCGGGGCTGGCCTGCGGGCCGGGCAGGGGATTCGGGAAGAGGCGGCACCCCAAGAAGCTGACCCCTTTAGCCTACAAGCAGTTTATCCCTAATGTAGCCGAGAAGACCCTGGGGGCCAGCGGAAGATATGAAGGGAAGATCTCCAGAAACTCGGAGAGATTTAAGGAACTCACCCCCAATTACAACCCCGACATCATATTTAAGGATGAAGAAAACACCGGAGCAGACCGGCTGATGACTCAGGTAGAAGCCCAGAGTGGGGCGTGGAATGTGTGCTTTAAAGGGGTTACACTCCGCCAGCTCCCTAGGCCACAGGAAGGCGTCCCTCTGCTTCCCACCGCCCAGGCCCAGCACTCTCCCCTTCCTGGAGGAGTGCGCAGGTGAAGGGCCCGCAGGAGAAGTTTGAGGTGGGGGTGGGGAGGACCTGCTCCCTGGCCCTGATTTGGTTCATCTTCTGGGACGGCCTTGCCATCCCACCTCTGCCCTGGCTGGTCACTTGTGGAGACCTTCACTCTGGGAGCCTCCGCCTTTTCCAAGTGGGATAAAATGAAGCAAGGAGGCGGGAATCCCCCATTTGCAAAAGTGGCCTCCAGGTCCCGGAAGACCTGGCCTTGAGCGCTCCAGCTCTGAGCTCCCAGGGTTCCCTTGTCTTCTGCCCAGTGCTACCCCCACCCTGTGGCTCCCCTACCAAACAGTCTTCCGGGGAAAGGCTAGGAGGCAGCTCTGACAAAAGGCCGGCTCACAAGGGGCCTCCGCCGGTCCCCACTGTATCCACAGCTCCGCGCGAGTGCACGGTCTGCAGCGTGGCCATCAGAGTGTGAACGTATCGATATTTCCTTAAGGATGCTCTTTCATCCCCTCGCCTGGTACCTTAGGGGAGGGCCTTAGAACTTATTGGCATTGCATCACTTCAGTTTTCAACCTGCTTGCATAAGAATTAGGAGTGAATAAATCCGAGTGGGAGGGGGAAGGAGAAGCCAGGCAAAGCATGAATTCTCTGCCTCCCCACCTCCTGGGAGACTTCTGGCTGCCAGCCTCGCAGCCAACGCTAGACTTTCTGAAACTCTGCGCACGTAGGACTGAAGCTGGAAGTGGGTTTCCTGGCAAATATAGGTCAACATCCTTTTTATTGCCCTATTAAAATATTCAAGTCCTACCTTTAGGGCTAGGTGCGCACAGGCTGGTGGCGCGGCGCTGGGGGGGGGGGAGTGCGGGAGAGAGTGTGGTGCCGGAGAGAGGGGCTACCTCGGGCCGCTCCGCTTCCCCACCCGGTGCTGCTCCCCGGGGGAGCCTAGAAAGGAGAGGGC